CACTGTCATACCACTGACACGCTATTGAGATGCCATCGAGTGGCCATATATATATATGTATATGTAACGAAATCTTCGAAAGGGATTTTGACCCACTTTAAAACGTGGAATCAAATTAAATCTTCGCACACTTATCAAGGACCGATGACAATACAATAATTTGATAAATTTGACTGATTATGCCGATCAATATCAACGGCTTTTTCCATACCTAAAACTACGATAGTGTCTTTTGCTACCCTAGGCGTGTGCTGAAGCATACATATGTGCCTTACTTGTTTTTAGTCTTATTGAGAATATAACATAACTAATTACTAAAAAAGCAAAAATTATAGTTTAAAAAATTAAAAAGCAGGATTTTGTAACTAGACGAACTAAAAAGTAGAGAATCATTTTCTGTAAGATCAAAAAAGCGTGGGGTGCTTTTCAAGACATTTTATAAAAAAATAACTATACTTTTGCCAATATCTGTCAGTAAAATATATTTACAACAATTGAGATCTAGCTAGATCTAGACTATATATATACTTACTAGCTCTTTCCCGCGGCTTCGCTCGCGTAAATGTCAATTTTATCAATAAATTTGTCCGGGATAAATAGTAGCCTCTTTGCGATTCTAGACTAAAATCTATCGATGTGGCAAATCTCGTTCAGATCCGCAAAGCCGTTTTGGCGTGATTGAGTAACAAACGTACTTACCTATGCTTTCCAAAGTTAAAAAAATAGGTGTCTATTTTTATTTTTTTGATAGAGAATATAATTACACTGAGAGTTTGGAATTGAACAGTTCCTCATACAATCTTACACCCCTTTTTAAGGGAAGTATTGAAAGATTTGAAACAAAGTTTTTTTTTACCTTTAATAAAGAGTATTTACCGAGTGTTTGAATACGCTACCACCAAAAATAACGAAGTTTCATGTAAATGTCCAGCTCCCATTTGGCACCCTTAGTAATAAATTATTAAAAATCTTTTTAGTGTACACCTACGTCACCTAAGCAACATTAGTGCAGTCTGTTAGTTATTTCTTTTATAGATATAGATAATACGTATATTAATGCAAAGTTATCATTCGCAAATAACGTTCAAAATAAGGGATTAACATACGCTCATGCCTTTATATTCACTATCAATAACAAATATGTTGAAATAGTACGACAGAAGTTCGATGCATGATACGCGATAATTATCAGTCACAATAAAAAATCCCTATCTTTGTGTTGCAATCTAATTATTCCCTATTTTTGTTTTCCGTGTGGTGACGGATTAAGAATACGGAGTGTTACTACCCCTATCCATCCCGTGGGTGTCGTAAGAGCCGACTAAGGAGCAAACTACGCAGGACAACAACACTGCAAAGAAAAAACTTGAAACAAGCCCTATACCAACCCGTCCGACCAGCGTGGTATAGTGGCCAAGGCCTCCTTTCTAGAGAGAGGCATATGTCCAGCAGTGGACTATCAAAGTGATGATGATTTTAATTAGAATATTTTATGTAAATAAATACTGTTTGTTTAACAAATATGTACCTACTACTGCCTCTACCCTAGAGACGGCTACGATCCTCTCCCACCCGGGAGAGAGGGGCGTACGGCATATGAGAACCGGCTCCACCAGAGTGTTACCATGGCCTCACAGAAAATCGAGTGAGTGAGGTTACCAGAAACCCAAACCCCGATCCCCCCTTCCCCCTATTTTTTAGGAGGAAGGACTCAAAGGCTGCAACACTTGTGACTGTTGAGTTGTAGGAGTCCATGGGCGATGGTTCAAACTTACCATCAGGTGACCAATCTGCTCGTTTTCCCTCCTATAACATAAAAAAAGTACAGATGAAGAAAATAATTGTGATGATGAAAATGATTAAAAGAAACTTTTGAAGATACTCTTTTCTAATATGCTTGTAAGGCGATCGCAACTATTTATTTATTTTAATTATTTATATCTTTATCACGGTACTATTATAATACAGTAGTGTAACTCGGCCGCATGATAGAAATAAATGCCTACAGCCGCGCGGTACGTAAACATGCGTTAGGGCTGCCCGTCTCCAGCATTTTAATTATATTTGTTTCTCTGTCTGTCTGTTTCTATTTAGATTTGTGATTGTAAATATCCTTTTTATATAAATAAATGAAATACTTTGTATATTGAATAGGAAGGGTTCAATAAAAATGCGTGTTGTTTTTTGATTGGTAGATTTAATTATTTTATTTTCTTTCTGCATTGGAGGAGTTTTTAGTGGTATATGTTGTTATAGTAGCAGCAGAAACACTTTGTGAAAATTTCGAAAACTATCTAATGACATACAGACGGTAAAATTTTTTTTCTAGTATTATTCATACACACAGATAATAAACAAATATCATTAAAAATAAAAGACCACGTCTTTACTTTGAATTATGCGAAGTAACAAAACACACATGCACCGAAGTTTTAACACAAGCGTAAGTAGGTGGGTACCTACCGTATCATGATTCATTCAGAACCTCATATAACTACCTATTTCACTAGTCTCAATAACTTTCCGTTACTCTATTCGCTTTATTAATTAATCCAAACACCTTTTTTTTCGTAAGATAAAAGGAAATACTTATCCATAAAAAAGACACACATTATGTACCTACCTACTAGTAAGTAAAATTATTTTATAGTCTTACCTTTCAGAGTTTATAGGTAATTTAAAAAAACCTTATGTCTGGATGCGTTATTGACGAATTCATACAACCAAAAACAGCTCAATATTTCCTACTCGTCATATTAACTGATTTTTAGAGAAAAAAAAAAACGCGCGGTTATTGTTAAAAAAAACAACACACCTTCCGGTCGACACTGCGGTACAGCCGTGACTGTCTGCGCCCCGAGCGCACCCCGAGATCGAGGCGCGTAGGTATAGCTCGCGTTTCGTCCGTTTGTATGAAGTTGGAGTACTGTATTATAATTGTACCGTGTCTTTATCGTTTACAGTTAACACATAAGACATTACAAATATATAGACGTAACAATCGGCGGTCTTATCGCTCACGGCGATCTCTTACAGACAACCTTAATACGGATATTAGTTATTTAAAAAGTTGGGTAGTTTACATACACGTAACGCATTATCACGATAAACACACATTCATACATATACATATTTATACACGGTGATTTTGAAAGCGTTTTGGAAAAGAAAATTTTGAGTTATTTATCAGTAACAGAAGCTATATATAACGTTAATTTAATAAAATATATTTTTTTTTATCATCAAAGTCGATATTCATATCGTTTATAGAGAAAAAGTCAGAACCAGTAGTAGTAGGCTATTCAATCACACGTAGGTAAATACTACGAATAGAAATACTATGCGTTTTAATATCGAGTCACATCAAATCGTATTCGCCAATAAAAACAAAGCTACCGAGTTGCGCCGGAGTCGTCCAACCAATGACGTCTGCCCCGTATGCGCATGCGCGGGGCTCACCTGTCATCGTCAGTCGGTCAGTAATACCATAACATCGTGACGGCACGCTGCATTGATTAGCGCTAAAATGAGTCGACAGTACGAATTTTCAAACGTGGAATACTTCTTGGCAATGGTACAGCTGTACGCTACTGCCAACTACAACTTGGAAGAGGCTCGGCGTTTGTATTCCCAAGCCGGAGCATTTAAATGCACTACGGCTACGTGGAATTGAAAGCCCTCAAATTCCCTCCACACCTACCATCTTGGCTGCAACCCAACGTCTTCTCGACCACGGACAATTTCGTGCGCCTACTCATGCGCAAGGTCAAGGACGTTTTAATTATTATTCGCCGGAGTGTAGTGCGTGCATACCTGGACAATGAGCTTAGTGATCGGACTTAACGCCCCTGGATTTTTTCTTATGGTCGGAAATAAAAAGACTTGTTAATACACGGGAATATGAAAGCCGTGATAATTTACGCATTGCGATAGTGGACGCTTTAAAGTGAAAAGTGATAGAGACACATTAAGAAAATTAAAAAACAATTGCATTAAACGTGGACGTTTGTGTATTGAATGCAGCGGACTCCATTTTGAGCAGTTCCTTCGATACAGAGAACTGTAAATAGTGTAAATAGGTATGTAAGTTAATTATTCTGTAGATAGCTCCGATTTTTTAAATACGCCTGAAATATTTATACCTACAGTCCGTTGATAAATTGATTTGCTGTGAAAAGAACAATCGTGGTTAATAATCGAAAAGAAGTTTAAATAAAATAGGTATTTCTGACGGTCCTAAGCCCGTGTAAAGTATGAAGGACAAATTGGAGTCTATCTACGTAAGTACTCGCTAGCTCGCGCCTATAGGTATAGTTTTGTCAGCTGCTGTTAGCGTCGGCGGTGCGCAGCGGCCGCCGAAACGCCCACGGACGTGTTTCATTCATATAAGATAATGAATGAACGATCAGTCCATTACTACTTTCCAAGTAGATCGAGTAAAAATGAATATTAAAACTGAAACTTTTTTTTAGACAACATTACAATTGATTTAATCATTTTTATTGGTACTATAGATGATTCCAAATTCAAATATTTCGTTTCCAAAACGCTTTCAAAATCACCGTGTATATAGGTACATATTAAATAGACATATACGCAACATATTTATATACAGTCCAAAATATATACTATATATAATGAAACCAACAGTATTTAGAATGTCAGATAAAAATCCTTCACTAGCTTTTTGAAAACGGGCAAGGTTTTAGCTTGTCGGATTATCAAAGGCAAGTTTTTCCAAAGTCTTTCTGCTTGCACAGTAAAAGATTTGTCTGCAAACTGGGTGGAATGTTGTGGCATTTTTAGGTTTAAATTCTCCGATGACCTTAGGTCCCTGCAATGTGTTGTGTAAGAACTAAAAACGTTCTTTGAGATAAGAGGGTGTGCGGGGATGAAACAGAACACTGTATAAAAGAGAAAGAATATGAAGATTCCGGCGAAAGCTTTCTGCTTTCCTCGTTTCGCAGCAACATTTAAGAATGTTTTTTTCTTCTTTTCAGGAGTGTGTCCCGTTCGCCTTCGCCGTCTCCCTCCGTGTCGCTTCGTACCACGGACATCGCCATCGATACTTTAGACAATGACAAGGTATAAATATATCTAATATGAAAATGTATAGCTGTAGGTATAATAACCATGAAACGTTGCACATTCGTGTTAAAGTAGTATTAAAGGCGATTATAGTGTGTTGGGGAACACACAACAGAAGAAACCTATTCACAATATTCTTGAAGTACCACGACATTTTTTTTCCTTTTTTTTATGGAATAGGGGATATTAATATGGAATTTATGCAAACTAGCAGAAGGGTCATCTACCGCTGTCCATGAATGCTTGCAACTCAGGAGTCACAGCATTTTCTTGAAGGTTTGAAGAAAAAACATAGATAAACAATAGTAGAATAATTAATAATGACCGGCCGGACAATAAAGTGATCCTATCCGTTTTTTCCTTTTGAGGAACGGAACCCTAAAAAGACTATTCGAAAGTACATTGTCTAGAAAATATATGCAGGCAGTTAGAAAGAAGGAAAAGCAATTTATTCGTGGACGGAAGAACATACACGCACAATATTCAGGAAACTTAATACTAGGCTTAAGCGTAAATACATTTTTAAGTGTAGGTGCCACCTATGCTAGTCGAAAAGGACCTGGTTCAGCGTCTGCTTGACAGATGTGAAGCGCTGGTTTTCAACCAGACCTTTTAATGAGTGACGGAAAACCAGACTGGCAAGTCGAACCAAAATGCAAAGAGAGAGTGGAACTTCTGTCTGCGCCTAGAAGTCCTGTGAGGGAATGTTAAGGCTTCAATTAGTTTGTAGAGAGATTACGCATTTTCTCCGAAATATCCTATAAAAACCGGTAAACGGTAAAGATTCCGTGGTCTCACACGGTCCCACGGTCTTAGTTGAGTTGTTGTTTATAAAAGAGTGTGTTTATAAATACAGTGCTAATTTTGGTAATTAACCGCCTACTTTTATTTATCGCACTCCCGGCTCATAACAATATTATATATTTTATGCCCTACTATGGTAAATTGCAGATAAGCGAGTCATCCATCCATGCAGCTATTCACGGCGGCGGCGATACTGCGTCGATATCCAGCGGCGAGCTGCCCATCACCATCGTCAGTGCTTCGCCCCCCTACAATAAAAGTGACAATCCTAGAGTAAGACTCTTGAAGTTATTGGAAAAAATATTCGCTGAGAGGAAACGGATACTCATTGTTCTTATCATCATCATCATCAACAGCCTCTAACAGTCCGCTGCTGGACATAGGCCTCTCCTTAGAAAGGAGGTTTTGGCCTACTATACCACGCTGGCCAGAGGGGTTGGTATAGGGTTTGTTTCAAATTTTCCTTCTCTTTGCAGTGCTGTTGTTCTGCGTAGTTTGCTCCCTCAGTCGGCTCTTACGACACTCACGGGAAGAATAGGGGTGGTGACCTCTGTCTCTTAATCCGTCACCACACGGACCATGACGGCCTATCAGGGAGACAGTGTTTCGTGTTAACTTACATCAAAAGACCCTATAGGGAAAACGAAATACCTGGTCTTTAGTACGAAGAGCCTGTGATTTTAATGAACGCAAAATTTGAAATAAATAATAAAATATACACGGTGCAAGGGACGTCGTAACGAATACTAAAATAGTGTATTCAGACCATCATTCTGAGTCGAAATTTTATGCAATCAGCCGTCAAAGGTTCCCCGTAGGTATCGCACAAAAGTAATAACTACATGTGTATTCCGTGCAAACAGTCTACGCACACTACCACAAAATGGCGGCTGGAGGGGAGGCCCCGCGCGCTTCGGCTTTTTAATTAATTACATTGAAGTTTATTGGTATTTATTTAATTATTTTCGGTAAAATGTTCTGTCTACTCATTGTGATATATTTTTAACCAGAAAAATGGTAAATTAAAAAAAGATGAATTTTCCGGTAGAAAATTTCAATGATTTTCGATTCAAAATCATGGTGTGAATACACTATTTCCGTATTCGGTACGATGTCCCTTACACCTTGTATAATATTTTTGGATATCTGACACACGACGCTATCTAGTTTCAAGCTAAGCAGAGCTTGTACTATGAAAGCTAGATTGACTGATAGAATACTTATATACTTATTTTTTTTGTAGATACATTCATATTATACATAGAAAACACCCAAACTCTAAAACAAATATTTGCAGATCATACAAACAATTGGTCCGACCCGGGAATCGAACCCGAGACCTCAGCAATGTAATAGTTTGCAAATTTATGGGTGAAGAAACTAGTTATTCTGCGTTATTAGTTTCAATTTACCTGGTAATACTGTTAAACATGGGTGATTTCAGGTACCTACTTAATAGCTCAAAGAAATTAACTTATAAACTAATTACAAACACATTATCTTACACTATTGCGCACTACAGACACGCATAATTATATCATCATCATCAGCCTATCGCAGTCCACATAGGCCTCCCCTATTGCACGCCACTTAGGTCGATTTTGGGCTTCTCGCATCCAGCTCCTGCAAGCCATCTTGCGCAAATCGTCACTCCACATGGCCTATGGGCGTCCTACACTACGTTTGCCGAGACGCGGTCTCCACTCAAGAACTCTTTTTCCCCAACACATCATCATCCTTTACTAATCCACTGCTGGACATAGGCCTCTCCTTAGAAAGGAGGTTTTGGCCTGCTACACCACACTGGCCAGACGGGTTGGTATAGGGTTATTGTCAAGTTTTCCTTCTCTCTGCAGTGCTATTGTCCTGCGTAGTCCACGGGATGAATAGGGGTGGTGACACTCTGTATTCTTAGTCCGTCACCACACGGACGATTTAAGTATATTGATTTGATTTAAGTCTATTGATTAGTGATTATGAGAAGATAAAAAGAGAATTATTGTTATTCTATACTTCATAAAAAAAAACCGGATCTTCGTACTACGTACAAGGTATTTCGTTTACAGTTTGTTCACGACGTTTGATGAACATCTCAGAATCATCATCATCACCATCGTGTGAGAGTGATAATTGCTATTGTGTTCCAGTTATCATCAGTGAATATAAATGTGAAAGCATCCGACACGGGTGGAGGGGCGAGGATTAAAAAGAAATCTTGGTACAATTCCTTGTACCCCACATACAAAAGCAAATCAGACGACTTCAAGAGACTGTTCAAAGACTTGCCTGATGACGAGAGACTTATAGTTGGTAGGTGTTTTTACACACATCTATACATATATAAATTTATTTGCCCTAATTCACCAACAGAGAGTACGTCACGATTTATCGTGGCGGCTACAAACTTTAAATTTTGGCAACTGCTGCTTTTTATGTTGGAAGCACCCACTAAGAAAGGATTTTTGGAAATTTAATCCTTAAGTTTGTAAAATAAGGGTTGAACGCGAAATAAGAAGCGAAACTACGGGAAATAGCTAGTTCCAAATACAAACCGACACTCGAAACAGTTCATTTAAATAAACTAGTTATAGGAATAAAATAAAAACCCGACTGCGTAAAAATGTATCATCATCATCCTCATCAGCCTATCGCAGTCCACTGCTGGACATAGGCCTCTCCCATTGCACGCCAATTAGATCGATTTTGGGCTTCTCGCATCCAGATCCTGCCAGCCATCTTGCGCAAATCGTCACTCCACCTGGCCCGTGGGCGTCCTACACTACGTTTGCTGAGACGCGGTCTCCACTCAAGAACTCGTTTTCCCCTTTTTTAAAAGATGTATAGATACTTATAATTTACAAACCAGCGCTTTTAATTTTTTTGTACCCAGAGTTACTCTCTCAAAGCCGTTTACATCAAAGAGCGTATCAAAGAAGTTTATTTAAACCCTAACATACTTAAAAAAGAAATCTAGAACTTTGTATTTTTGAAGTCGGTTATAAATAATATGTTTCTGCGCAGACTACTCATGCGCGCTTCAAAAGGACATCCTGGCTCACGGGCGTCTGTACGCGTCGCAGAACTACCTGTGCTTCTACGCCTCCATCTTCGGCTGGGAAACCACCATGAGCCTTCGGTGGAAAGACATCACCGCTATCACCAAGGAGAAGACTGCGCTGGTGAGTGATTTGCATTGCAAGAAAGAGATCACAACAAAAAAAAAACAGTACAACGTCTATTGGACCAGTAGTATATAAATATATATATTTCGTGTAATAAACGCCAACCAAAGCGAAATTATACGAATATGGCCATTGTAATAAATTCTAACATTTAATTTTGCCTGCAGGTAATCCCAAACGCTATCCTAGTATGCACAGAAGGCGAGAAAAATTTCCTCACATCGTTCTCCGGCAGAGACAAGGCCTACTTGATGCTGTTCAGGATATGGCAGAACGCGTTGATGGACCAGCCCATGAGCAGCCACGAGATTTGGCAGTGGGTGAGTTTATATTCAGTAGGTATATAGATTAACCAATGACTGTTAGCAGTTATGACACAAATCCTAAACGTAGTTTGGGTCTTGGGCTTGATAAACAAGGTTTTTTACGTGGGCCATGGTTCAGCACGACCTGAACTTGGCCTCACAGAAAACCGATGTTAAGCAAGTGTTGATTTTCATCTAATAAGTGAGGTTATTGGAGTCCGAACTTCTCTCCCTTCCAGGGTTACTAGGGGGAGAGCATAAACGCACTTGTGACTCTTGAGTTGCAGGTGTGTATGGGCGGCGGTAATAATTTACCATCAGGTGATCCGTCTGCTCGTTTGGTCTCCTACATCTTAAAAATAATATAGTTTAAAAAAACACGCTTTCGTCACTAGCCGAATTAAAAAGTAGAAAATAATATATGTAACTTCAAAAAGAAAAATCATTTTATCTTTTTATGGGTCAATTATTCTTGTAAATATTTAATTGTCAAATTTTGAGAAAAGTAAAGTTATTTATACAAATAAATAAAATTGAAGTATCTGTTTCTAATGTCAAAATAATATGTTTTTTTCATACTCACGCGGTAATTTTTACGACACCTATGCCTATATTTTTGTCTGTCTGTTTGTGTCTTCAAAACGGCTGGGCCGATTTTGTCAATATTTTACCACCAGGCAGCTGTATATATAAGTTGTAACTTAGGCTATTTTCCTCTCGGAAAAAACCTAAAAAATTTTGCTCGGTCCGGGAATCGAACCCGAGGCCTCATGGACTGCAGTCGCGCACAGTTAATACATCACTAAGGCAGCGCTTTTCATACTCCACGCGAACGAATATTATAAAATATCTTGGAAACCACGCTTTTACACTTACAAAACCTTTTTCTTTGTTTTCTTAGACTGATTTATTTTTGCTCTTTTAGTCATTAATAATGATAATTATTTTCACATTAAGGCTTAAAAAGTAACAAATAAGTAAATCGACTGCATGGATGGCGTAGTGGTTTAAGCGGTCGCCACGCCTCTTCCTACTACGCCGAGTGTTGTGGGTTCAAACCCCACACGGGACGACACTTTGTGTGATCCACAAATTGTTGTTCTGAGTCTGGGTGTTCTTTGTGTCCGTTTCATGTATGTTTGTAAAGTCCCCCGCGACACAGGATTTGTTCCTAATGCGGGAGTAGTCTTTTTAAAAAAAAAAAGAGAAAAAAAAGAGTAAGTCACATACGCTTCAGTACACGCCTTAGTACATGGTACAAGATACTACAGTAATTTAGATATGGAAATAATCCATTAATCTTGAAGATCCTGATCAGGATAATCAGACAAATTTATTAAATTACTAGCTGATCCGGCAAACGTTGTATTGCAACAAAAAAAAAATTAGGCATGGGTCACCCTTACCATTCAAAATTGTGAATCTAAACCATTCCCAGATCCCCTTGAACACACACAAAAAATTTCATCAAAATCGGTCCAGTCGTTTGAGAGAAGTTCAGTGACATACACACTCACAAAGATTGTACTGTCATCTGTTAGTTTGTAGTTTTTATTCAATCCGACGTTTTGGAGTGGGTAAAAATCACGTTCAAAGAATTCGCAGCATAAATACATACTAATCTTATAAAAGCGTGTTAAAAAGCTGAGAGTCGCCCAACCAGGGGTCAATTATGTTTGACTGACGATGTATCAGTACATAGAAGTGGCTTGGGCAGAACACATTACTTAAACTCCGCAGCGACGCTTAGGGCGGCAGCGGACTTGTGATGGGAGTCACTTACCAGCAGGTGTTGTGTCTGCTCGTTGGCCCCCCTAAGTAATAAAAAAAGCTATCGTTTCACTTACAACGTAATTAATCAGTAAAAGTTCTGATAGGATACCTCCTAATTTGTACCGTCCTTTACACTAGATTCACAAATACTTCAAACAATTATATCAATAGGTAGACTCTTTTTTAAGTGAAATTTTTTGAAGTCTTTAAAACTCGCTGAAACGAAAATGCGTCACGATAAAGAAACAAACACATAAATGTATAAGATTAAGTCGGCGAGAGAATGAGATAGAATACATTACACATTATTTTTAATATATTATTTTGACAGTGTGAATATTTTCATTTTTTTATTTAATACTAGCTGACCCGCGCAACTTCGTCTGCGTCTCTCAATAGTAATACATTTTCTCCGTTTTTGAAACATTCTTCATTGGTGCTCCGCTCCTATTGGTCTTAAGCCTATAGCCTCCCTCGATAAATGGGCTATCTAACACTGAAAGAATTTTTCAAATCGGACCAGTAGTTCCTGAGATTAGCGCGTTCAAACAAACAAACAAACAAACTCTTCAGCTTTATAATATTAGTATAGACTAGCTGGTACCCGGGACTTCGCTTGCGTGAAATTTGAAAAACGCTGCTTAAGTGGGTTTTTGTGAGATAATAAAAAAAATAATCGGATGTTTCGCTTCTGCCGTGTGGAAATTGCACACACATTCTTTTTTTTTATAAAATCAGCACTTACAAATATATTGTGTCAACATTGGCAATTCAAATGCAGTCCTCACAGCACACCGTACGTGTTGCTACATTAATTCTAAATCATGCGCATAGTTCCTACTTTCAATAAATATTTATCGCATAAAAGTGAAAAACAAGATAAACGGATTTTTTTTTTTTGTTTAGAGTTGCCAATCTTTATAATAATAATAATAGGCACTAGCCGTTACCCGCAGTTTCATAGTTCTAAAGATAAACGCATTTAAAAAACGATAATGTTTCTGACTCCTGAGCTGCAGACGTTCATGGGCGGCGATGGTCACTTCCATCAGGTGTCTGCTCGTCTGCCCCCTCTGACATAAAAAAAAATCCTTTCAGCTTCATTATGTTCGTAATAGATAAACGAAAAAGTAACTGTATGTCTGTAAAGTTACACTAAATAGCTGAAATAGTTTTGATAATTATATTGGTGTAAAGATAGACGTGCTCAGGACTTAAAAATTAAAATTAAATAAATGTGTATATATATTTAGAAATATCATCATCAATCATCTTCAGCATTTCATAGCGCACACGCTCGCACGCACACACACACACACACACACACACACACACACATTTAATTGAATACCAATTGTGTCTGCTAGTTTTACTGTTGTAACACCTTTGGACCAATAAATATATTTATTTATTATTATTATTATAGTCCACTGCTGGATATAGGCCTCTGATAAGAAAGGAGGTTTTGGCCTACTTTGGATTGCTATGGGATTTGTTTCAAGTTTTCCTTCTTTTGCAGTGCTGTTGTCCTGCGTAGTTTGCCTCCCTTAGTCGGCTTTTACGGCACCCACGGGATGTATAGAGGGAATATTTAGAAATACAAGTATGTTTATCCGAAGTCTAGTTACTGGGTACAGTACCTACTAGAGAACTTTCCTCCCCCTGTGTGCGTTGGAGTTCATGGTTTTTATTGAGAATTCCAGTAACACATAACAAGAATTCTTAATAACATTTCCAGCTAAGCAAATTTTTTTTGTAAAACGGTCCACATGGTGGCTAATTTATATATTCGGATTGGATACTGCAATTTTATTATCCAAAAGACAGCTCCTGCACGTGCGTGCGGGAATTTTCATATATCCTGTGTCGCGAGGGACTTAACAAACATTAATTTAAACGGAAACAAAAAACACTCAAACTCAAAACCACAATTTGTGGATCACACAAAGTGTTGTCCCATGTGGGGATCGAACCCAGCGCGGTAGGAAGTGGCGAAGTACCGCTGAAACCAATATGTCATCTGTGCAGTCAACATTTTTTTTCTTAACCTCACTTTTAGGCCTTTAATTTTAAACATTCGAAACCTTTATCAATAATTGTATTCAAGTTTTGAGTGAAACAAAAGTGTATATCAGACCACCTCCTTAAATATAATTTTTATCATTCCCGATATAAAGTCGCTCCTAGAAGCCTGTGAACGCCCCAGGAGGCTTCTGCGCTTCTGAAAGGAGCTTGGCTGGCTCACCTAGTCAACCAAGCCTCGACGCATAAAGGACCACTCTGAGTCTAAATCCGGAAACCGAAGCCCACAACCAATACCACCTCCTTAAAAAAACCGTCCGATGCAAACTTAATGGCGGCTCGGAACATCGGATGCATAGAACACAATAATAGACAACAGCGGGACGTAAGGGAGCGCGGGGCAGACCGACACGACGCGCATGCCTTTTAGTGTGTGAGATTCATCCGTACACTGCACATGCGCGCATGTTCCTGTCTACGTACAGTCAAGTTCACTGTAGGGACTTGCCATACCCACCAAATATACACATACCGCTGCCTACCATAAAACTAACTTCAGAGCCGCCATTAAGTTTGTATCGAACTATACTGTGCTTCAGCGATGCAACGGCAGGATTCTTTCGATTCATTGCTGAGGATGCAGGAGATTTTCTAACCTCCAAAAACTCTCACAGATGACAGACTTAACACATCTTAGGTCATAACTTCACCAGAGCTCACGGTAAAGTGGTATGTTTTAATCCAACCGATTAAAACCACACGGTGTTCCGCCACATATGAGTATAGACTCATATGTGGCGGAACACCGTGTGGTTTTAATCGGTAATAGTTACAAGGGACTTAGGTATACCCTGGGAATAATGTTCCCAATACACCTTAATTTCGCAATACATGTCCAATAACTACACTAACTATCCGACGTCTTTCGGCCTTAGTAAAATACTAGCTTTTGCCCGCGGCTCCGGCCACGTAGTCGATGTCTTTCCCTAAGAATCAAAGTATCTTCATGCCACATTACATTCAAATCGGTTCAGCAGTTTAGCCGTGAGAGCCTAACAGACAAACAGAGTTACTTTCGTATTGATAAAATTAGGAGGGATTGAAAAAAGTTTTTCAACGCTGGCAACACAGGCTAAGTTTCATTTTGCACAGATTAGAAATTTAAATGAATTGACATACTTCAAATCATGTCTTACATTTGAATTGATATTTGAGGATAA